TAGATGTGTGTGTGTGTTGTGTGTGTATGTGTATATGTGTATATATACACACACTCATACATACACACACACACACACATATATATATATATATATCAAATACTAGTGCAACAAACTATATAGAACAAATAATGGACATTTAAAAATCAAATAAGCATTAACACAGTAGTAGTGGCAGACACCTATATTACACTGTCACAAATAGATCAATTAGACAAAAAATCAACAAAAAAATACTAGAACTGAACCAAACTTTTGAACAATAGACTTAATAGATGTCTACAGTGTCCCACCCCACAAAATCAAAATACACATTCGTCTCAGCTGCACATCGGTAATTCTCCAAAATAGGTCTCATCCCAGCTCATAGAACATGCTTAAGTAAATATATTGTTAAACCATAGTGCAATGAAATTAAAGCTCAATAGCAAAAGAAATCACAAGAGCTTCATAAACACATGGAATACAATAACACCCTCTTGAACAACCAATGGGTCACAGAAGAAATTAGACAGTTTCTACAATTAAATGATAATACCAATATAACATACCAGAATTTATGGATGCAATGAAATTGGTCCTAAGAGGGAAATTCATAGCAGTGAGTGCCCATATTAGAGAAACAGAGGGAGCTCAAATAAACATCCTAATGCTGAAATTCAAGTTTCTAGAAAAAGAAGAGCAAGACAAACCCAAAGCTCATACAAGGAGAAAATTATAAAGATCAAAGTAGAAGTCACTGTGATGGAGACTAAGAGAATGATACAAAAAAACCAATGAAGCAAAGAGTTGGATCTTCAAAAGGATAAACAAAATTGACAAACCCTTAGCCAACCTTATCAAAAAAAGGAAAGAAAAGGCCAAAATCCATGCAATTAGGAATGAAAATGGTAAAATTGCAACACATCCTGTAGAAATCCATAGGATCATCAATATCTACTTTGAATATCTGTATTCTAGTAAGACGGAAAACACAAAAGAAATGGAGAGATTCCTGGATATAAATGAATTACCAAAGCTGAATCAAGAATATAAAATTCTAAGCCCAATATCCATCAATGAAATTGAAAACATAATTAGAAATTTACCAACAAAGAAAATTGCAGATCCTGATGGCTTTAATGCTGAATTCTACAAGAAATTTAGAGAAAAGCTAAGGCCACTACTTCTCAAACTTTTTAATGAAGTTGAAAGGGAAGCAATAATTCCAAATTCATTCCTAGAAAAAAGCATTACCTTGATTTCAAAAGCAGAGAAAGGCCCAACCTGACCCTCAGAAGTGCTAACAGCAAAAGCATCAAAGCAGATAAATGGGGCTCTAGAAAAAAATCAAATCAAAACTTATCTCTCAGATAAGTACAGAGATGGTGACTAGGCATAGTTAGTGAGTCTAGAGCAGATACAGATTAAAAGAAAATATAAGAGCTGAGGCAAATGATGTAAACTACGAACATATAACAGGAAAGAAATGAAATCCATGAAACAGATTCAAACAGATATCCAGGAGATTAAAAATTCCATTTAAATTATATGTACCAGAATGAACCAATGTGAGGAAAAAATATCAGATATAGAAAAACCAGACTGTGTTAGTGAACATAAAAAGAAATTTTTCTTTAAAAAAAGCAGAGGACCATGAAAAAATCAATCCAACAGATGTTAGATAATATAAAGAAGTATATGGCCAGGAAATTAGCTCAGTGGTGCCACTGCCTGCCTCACAAGTGCAAAGACCTGAGTTCAATTCCCAGTACCAAAAAAAAAAAGAAAGAAAGGAAAAGAAAAAGGAAGGCAGTGTTCAAACACCCCCCCACACAACTATAGGGCCACAGATTTAGTTCAGTGGTTCCGCCGCCTTGCAAGCACAAGGTCCCGAGTTTGATCCCTGGTACCAAAAAAACAAAACAAAACAAAACAACAACACACACACACACACACACACACACACACACACACACACACACAAAGTATAATGTAAGATTGATCCAAGTCAATGAGAAAACAAGAGGTAGTGCAAATGATATTTTAAAAATATTCACAGAAATAATGGCAGAAAACTTTCAAGAATGGAAAAAGAATTTGACATACAGATAAGTGAGGCACATAGAAGTCCAATTACCAATGATCAAAAAAACTCTAGACCAAGGCAAATCATAGGCAGTATTTTAGAAATCCAACACAAGAACAGAACATTAAAAGCTGTTCAAGAAAAGAAACAAATCACATATAAAGTAAAGCCCATCAGAGTCACACCAGACTTCTCAACCTAAACACTCAAGGCAAAGACAGCTTGGAGTGAAGTATTTCAATCTCTAAAGAAAAACAATGTCTAGCCCAGTACGCTGTAAAATCATCTTTCAAAATTTAGGGAGAGGGGCCAGGGATTTAGCTCAATGGTTCTGCCACCTGCCTCAGAAGCACAAGGACTTGAGTTCAATCCCCAGTACAAAAAAAAAAAAAATGTTTTTTATGGAGAGGTTCAGGAATTTGGCTCAATGGTTCCCATGCCTGCCTCGCAAGTGCAAGGTCCTGAGTTTGATCCCTGGTACAAAAAAAGGAGAAATAAGATATTTTCATGACAAAGAATACCTGAAGAAAATTCATGACCAC